ATGTCACGTCCTCCATGAAGCCTTCCAGAATGCTCCTTTCCCACCAGTTCTTCAGTTCTCCCTAAGTCACTCACAACACTGAGCCCACCACACTGTAGACTGTCTCCCCCGTGAAGCTGATACAGCCGAGAGCTTACATACAGAAAGTGCTCACTAAATGTTTGGGGAGTGGCAGGCAGATCTTTTAACAGCTCTGCACTGGTGACCACAGTTTCTGTGCAGTGATGTCTAGGTCAGTTTGTCCCATCTGCTTCCTTCCCAGGATGCAGATTCCTTGAGACCTATGACTCTCCCTCTCCAACCCCTGACAGGATACATTTACATCTTTCAGAAAGGGAATGGGAACCCCAAATAGCCCCAGACCCTCCCTCTTTTTTGTGATGCTCATGGTCCAAATGTTGGGAGATGATCCAAGGAATTTCTGGCATGTGATCAATATGGTCATGAAATCATAGGCAAATTTGTTTATCCCACCTAAGTGTTAAATCCTTAACACATACAGGTTGCAGTTTCTGCCGAGAGTCATGCCACGACCCACAAAGGCATCATCTACCTGTAGCCACGTAAGTCAAAGGGTGATTGTCAGAAAAGGAACTTGATCCCATTCTTTCCATCTTCTCCCAAAAGGAAAGGCATCAAGAAAAACAAAACTAATTTCACAAACACACGGAAAAAGATTCTTTCTCGTGCTGGCAGGAGACTGAGCCGAATCCTAGAAGGAATGAATGGATGTGAGATGCCTCGAAGTCCCTCTTACCAGTGGCATCACCAGAGGCTGCAGGGGTTTCAGATGGCATTAGTTGATATGTCGCGGGGGGGGGTTGAGACACCAAAATGACCACCTGTAAAATTTGTGTACAGTGTTTTAGTAGAAATTCATTTTTTAAAATAAAAATATCCATGGAGTTAGTTATAGGAAACCTGGTGGCGCTGTAGAATTAGCACTGGACTGCTAACAGCAAGGTCAGTAATTAAGACCCACCAGCGCCTTCTCAGAAACCCTAAACAGGGTTGCTATGAGTTGGAACTTGTGGACTGCAAAGTTGGTTTGAAACACAAGGTTGGCAGTTCAAGCTCACCAGCTACTCATTGGAAGTCCTATATAGGGTTGCGATGAGTGGGAACCAGCTAGACGGCACTTAACAGCAACAAGTACAACAGCAGCAATGTGGTCCTGCCAGAGTTGTCATTGTTACCTAATTACAATGACACTTCTAATCACGTGGTTGCATCCGCACGTGCCAGTGGTTTTAGAGTCCCTGATATTGTCAGATTTTTTTGGTGTTTTAGCTGCAAGATTGTGGCAATTTGTATTTTGGAATCTATATCAACAACGTTTTTGTGAGAATGAAATAATAACAAAAGGAAAAGCAGGAAAAAAATATAAAAAGGCTTCTGCTCATAATATATTGTAACTAAGAGTATTGTACTTTAATATAGAAAGATTTTATAAAACAATTCTGTTAGTAGTTACATAACCTAATAAATATGATGGCATTTAAACAATTTACAACTACACTTATCACATAGTATTCTGTGATTAAAATTGATCATCAACACGACTAAAGATTCGCTATCGTCTGGTACGGAAGAAGGTCCAGGAGGATGAAAAGATACCATGAGTTACCAATCTTACTGTGTGACCCCAAACTTAGTGATGCCACTGTTCCTACCTCTCCCTGATTTCTAAGAAAGGACAGGCCAGCTCTGAACTTAATGTGTTTGGGAAGTTCCACTGACCACGAGGCAAACCAACCCCAAATGCCATGGTAGTCACTCCAGTGAATGGTCCATTTGTGGGACCAGGTCTCTGAAATGCCTGTCTGCAAGAAGAGGTCCAAGGAAAAGCTAAAGTCATTGAAGGATAATTTTAAAAGGCAACACAGACTGGATGGAAACCAACACATTCTGACCATCTAGAACTAGATATTGAGCCTTGTATGTGGGTTTAGAAAGTGCAAAGCTTTTCCTTTGGAGGTTTTATTTTTGAGCTTTTTAAGATATTTCCATCCAGTCCAGCTGTCCACTAGTGGTTGGGCATCGGACACCGAGCCTTACACTAAACTGACATCAAGTAAATAAACCAAGTCCCTTTGACAGAGATGTCAAACTTTATGTGTCTTTGTGTTATACCTGAGGAAACCATGTTACGTTTGATAAATTACCAACATGAGGTAGATAATTCACTTGGGAATAATGAAGTCAGGGGACCAATTTTAGAGGCTGTATATGGATGAATATAAATGCTTTTCTCAATTTAGTTAGAGCAGATTTAGTTGATGTGGATTGTTAATGCAGTCATTTTCTTCTGCTATCCTCTTGTGTTTATTTTTTAATGTGTTTAAATAATAATGAATACCCCAATCAATGGACTGCTCAGGGGGTTTGTCTACATCATTCCAATGTAGCTGGCTTTATTGGCTTCTTAGCCATCCTAGAAGTTCTATCAAAAAATCACAAAATCTTCTCAAGACATGCCCTGTGGGTGGACGAGCTACAGCAGAGATAAGAGATATCTGGTTTTACCTGGAGCACAGATCAAGCAGGAAGAGGATTTGACATAGTTCTTCCTTCAAACTGACAGTGATGAAATACATATTTTGTGGCTTGAATTTGATTGTCTTCTGACTTCATCCACTGGGTTACCCAACTTTGGGTGTGCTTGTGAAAACTGTGAGTCTTTGTGCTTGTTGTGTTGTTTTTGTTTGTTTTTTTCTTTTTTTTGGTGTGGTTACAGTGGACGGTGGACAGTTGCTTGTCACTAGGAAAGTTCCACAGGGAAAAATGTCTGCTGTGATTCAAACTTGGTTGAACAAATGGGCTCGGATTCAGGGGAATTTTGTTTCAGTAACAGACAAAGTCACACCCGTGTAGTTGAGGCTTGATGTACAGCATTTGCCAATTTTCTTGGTGTAAATGTTTCCACCACAGTTTCTTTTGGGAGTCTTGGTTTGGCGCTGTGGGTTAATGTGCTTGACCACAAGGTTGGTTTGAACCTCAAAGTCGGTGACTCAAGCTCACCAGCCACTCCTCAGAAACCCTATAGAAGGTTGCTATGGGTCGGAATCAACTCTACAGCACTTAACAACAACAACAATGCGTCCTGGTAGAGTCCTGGTGTGTGGTGCTGTGGGTTCATGCCCTAGACTGCAGTTGATTTGAATCTCAAGGTCCATGGTTCAAGCTCACCATCTATTCCTTGGAAACCCTATACAGGGTCACTATGAGTCAGAATTGACTCGACGGCATTTAACAACATCAACATAACCTCACTAAACACAGAGTTGGGAAGGGTGTCCCCACTGGCTCTTCAAGCAGGAATGAGCACATCTCTAACATGTTTGGAAGGTGTCAAAGTCTCTGAAGCTCTGTCTGTCTTCATCCCGGTCTCCATGGAAACCCTGAGACCAGACAGGACTAGGTCAGGCTGAGTTATGAGTTTGCTAAATGAGGAGCTACAACAGAGTCCAGTCCCAGGGCTAAGAGTTAATAAGAATTTTTCAAATAGACATGCACATCAACTCTCCATCTTTAAATACTGGGGCTGTCTGGCAATAAAAACCAACAGCTTTTCTAGATTGTTCCCTGTTGGATGCTTACCTCTCCTGAAGTGCTGGAAGGAGGGAATGAGCCACCTGCCTCTATTGCCCCCGTCTTTCCACCATGAAGAAATCACTTAGAAGGATTAGGAAATGTCATATTTTAGCATTCACAAGTCAATTTGGAACGGAAAACACACATGAAGTGAGCAGAAAGTAGGCCACTAACCTTAGTTTTTATTAATTTAAGATGGGGACTGTAAATGGGTGGGAATGTTGACTAGAGTTACGGTTTTCAATAAAAATGTCACTCTTTCATTATTAGTACAAAGAACTTTCCTGACAAAACCTTGGGAAGCCTCAACTTTCTGTTAAGAAAAGCAGAAACTAGGCTATTGAACAATCAAACCAGGTTAACGGTAACCAGAGCCTGAAAAGTATGGCTAACAGCCTGCTTAGGTCAGTTCCTGTCCGTTCATCTCACAGGGCGTGCTGGACGAGATGCGTAAGACAATGTGAAATGTTTCCTGAAAATGCAGGTCACAAATTGGGGGAACACCAGGTAGCCACCTTTCTCTGGATTTGGGGGCTACACCAGCTGGCCACCTTTCTCTGGATTTGGGGGCTACACCAGCTGGCCACCTTTCCCCTGACTTCCCTTGGCTCCAGCTGTTCTGACAAGTAAATCAGAAGGTGACTTCAGATTTCAAAGAACTTAATAAATGCATTGCCTGCCTTTGTAAACCATGTTCATGCGAAGATTGTCTACACACACAAACGTTAGCTTTTTGGGTGTTTGTGGCGGGGGGGGGGGGGGGGCAAAAGTTGAATCCAATTCAACAATTTCTAAGACAACTGGTTAGCAACAACAAGGAAACCACTAGTTGTCAACCCTTTTTCCCGTGGGTGCAGAGTCGAAGAGTCCTAGCTGAATACCCTGTAGTTAGTATCAGCTGAATAATATTTGGGTTAAAGCAGCCACCACGATCACGTGGAAGAGCTGAAGAATACTAGCCATGGCAGCTCCGGGGTCAAGCAGTTGCTGCTAACCTCAGTGCCAGCAGGGCAACCACCACTGTTCTTCAGCCTGGAACCCAACATCAAGCAGTGAGCAAGCAGGTAGATGCCATGCTTCCCACCTGCCACCAGCAGGTCTTTGAAAGTGACGAGGCTGAGTGTTCACCCCTAGGAAGCTCTGAGAGTCTGGAAGCTCAAAAGAGCTTCTCAGGAGGAAAGGTCAGAGCAGACCCCATGGTCATCCTTTGGTGATACACGGGGACAGGCCAACATCTGCCCATGAGGAACTGGGGAGCTGGCTGCAGAGCCCCTCCAAGCCAGGGAGCTGGGGTCACTCAACTGCCAGTAGGTGGCAGTTGGTGATGTCTGCCCAGGAGTCCCAGCCTGTCCCCCCTTCTTCCAGCTGGCCATCACTTTCTCAACTCTCCGAAGGACTGTCCTCTTTCACTCAGAGATGGGCAGGATGTTCTGACTGTGGGAGTCACCTGTGAGGCCCGATGACCGGATGGCACGTCTGTTGAGGATCCTGTTTAGAATCTCCTTGCAGCTTTTGCGGTACTGGTGACGCAGCAGCGAGTATACAAAGGGATCGGAGGCAGCCTTGCTGTAGGCTAAGCACTTGGATAGTACTCCCCAGTGGGAGCTGATGGTCACCGCTGAAGAGAGTTCCAGCAGCCTGCAGAGAGAGAGGAGCCATGACCAAGAGCCCAACTGCCTGCTGACTGGGCAGCAGCAGACCAGGGCTCCAGTCTTCACCTCCAGCCCCAACCACCTGACCAAGTCTCAGTCCCCTGGAACTGCCTCCTCTAGAAACAATGACAACAGCAATAACAATAATGATGGTGAACACTCATCCCAAGACCGTTGCCGTCATCCATCTCCTAGAAACCTACAGGACAAGAGTAGAATTGCCGCATAGGGTTCCCAAGGCTGTCATCGTAAGGAATCAGACCGCCACAACCTTTCTTCCGGGAAACTACTGGTGGGTTTGAACTAGAGACCTTTCAGTTAGCAGCCAAGCACTTCGATCACTGTGCCACCAGGGCTCCTGAGCAATCCTTAGTCACGAGTGTTTGGTTTCAGGCACTGTGCTAAGGAGAGTTACACGTGTAGTTTTAACTAAACTCTGGAAGATGTGCTTGATGATCTCCCTTGAAAAACTAAGCAAAAGTTGACATCCAGCCAATCCAGACTTGTGGTGGCCCCATGTGGTGTCAAATAACACCGCTCCAGAGGGTGTTCTTGGCTGTCATCTCTACAGAAACAGATCACCAGGCCTTTCATACGCAGTGCTGCTGGATGGCTTCAAACCACCGACATTTAAGTGAATTTGTTGTTGTTAAGGGTCGTCAAGTCAGTTCCTACTCATAGAGACCCTGATTAGGGTTTCCGAGGTGCAGGTGATGGGTTTGAACTGATGACCTTGCGGTTTGCAGTCTAATACTCAAGTACACACCGTCTGCTCCACCCAGGAACCTCTTCCCATTTGACACAGGAGGAAATAGATGTTAAAGGAGGTTCAATCATTTGACCAAGTACACTGTACAGGCATGATTTAAACCCCAGTCTCTCTGGCTCTAGAATCCAAGCTGTTCTGAGAAATGGGCTTAGACATCATAAACCGCCTTCTTCCCGCCCACTGTTAAGTGAGGAAACTGAGGCTCAGAGATGTGAAGGGAATGGCTAATATCTCCCAGCAAGTTGGTGGCCGAGATAGTCAGGTGCCTGTACTTTCCCTGGGGGTCCAGCACCTGTACTCAAGGGAGAGGACCCGCATTCGTACTCTACCTGGGAGTTGGTTCCTGGATTTTACCTTGGGAGCCCAGCACCTGCACTCTACCTGGGTGTTTGACACCTACACTCTGCTTGGGGGTCTGCAGGATGGGAGGCTGCCCAGGTGAGAACACAGGTACAGAAAGAACTAAGTTAAGCTTTCTTGGACTCTGTGCTACCATCTTTAATGGCTTATCTTGGAGCTGAGGCTGTGGAGCTGGGCTGTAGAGAGAGACAGAGGGGAAGAGGGGAAAGCCGGTGGTGAGAGAGGGGACTTGAGACTCTCCACTGAAATGTCCCTTTCTCGGGCAGGTCCTGAGCTCACTCTGGTGCCTCCCATTACAGCCCCACTGTCTGCCCTGCCCTCTGGACCCACAGGGAAGTGTGGCTACCGTTTCCCTCACAGAGGAATGGAAAATGGTCAAGGGAAAATTGCGTTGTTAACATTTGGCCAATAAGATTTCTATTTTGGGAAATGATGAATTTAGAGGAAAACAAACACAAAACCTGAATTTGCAGTTCACACCTCAAACCATGCAGTGAACTAGCTGAATGGCGACCCCTTACTGCTATGCTCTGTCACATGGTCTTCTGCATATGGCTAAATTCATTCCTAACAGTTTAGCTCTCCGAAGAGGGTTTATTAAAAGCAAAATATCAAACAAACCATCCAGCACAATCATTAAGTATTAAGTGCAAGTTCTGTAGAATTCACCAAATAAAAATTATTCAGGACAATTAAAAAACTCCCCACTTGGCAGGAATTAAGAGGTAAACTCGATTGCATTTGTCTTTCAGAGATGTTCTGTAAGGATTCTGCACTCTCCACCTGGCTCGGCACTAACTGCCAGTTGAGTGTCTCCTTTGGGCTAAGAGCAATCTCTCACCTTACAACCGTCCTCCTGAATCACCCACTAAACCGGCGACCCTGTAGACGACAGCACGGGGTTCCGAAGCTGTCAATCTTTACAGAAACAGACTGCCTCCTCCTTCTCCTGCAGAGCTGCTGGTGGGTTCAAACAGCCGACTTTTCAGTTAGTAGCAGAGCACTGAACCCATGTCTGATGATGATTATTCCTATTATGTTGTTTTTGCTGCTGTCTAGCAGCTCTGCCTCAGTGACCCCATGCACATCAGGATGGGACTGTTGTGACCACAGGGTGTTCAGTGGCGGATTTTTTGGGGAGTAGATTGCCAGGCATTTCTTCCTAGTCTCTTAGTCTGGAAGCCCCACTGAAGCCTGTTCAGCATGACAGCCACATGCAAACATCCACTGACAGGTGGGTGGTGGCCATGCAGGAGGTGCCTTGAGTGGGACTAGAACCCGGGTCAGACAGATGTGGAAAACACAACTCAGAGAGGCTGAGCAACAAGCCAGGCACTCACACCTGGGAACCCCAGCTCCATCCAACTCAGCATGGTGGGCTGGATGACAGAGACTCCAGTCCTCCCAGACCTGAGGACATCCATCCTACAAGGTCACTGTGTGCTACTCTCAACTCTTGTCACCTGCCCGTGCCTGCTTTGAAAGCCAGTCTCTAGCCAGGGGATGCTTTGGGTGGTCCAGATCTGGACACTGGTCCTGTGTCCATGCTCTGACAAGGTTGGCCATTCTGGTCTCTGCTTTCCCTGTATATGAGACCCCACTTCTACTAACTCTAGGCTGTGCTCCAACCTAGTTCTGACAGCCCCCAAGTCCCATCTCTTCACAGTGTCCTAGAGGGACAAGGATTCCAGAGCTGCCTCGTCCTAACTCCAACTCCGGGGGCGGGGGGCGTTCGGATGGCCCCTCCACATGACCTTTCAGCCTGGTTTCTCTCACTAGGTCTAGCTCTATCCTACTTATCCTAACACAACCTCACCCCCAAGAGAGTCAGGACCACTGAGTGTGAAAGGTGCTGGCCTCCTTATTGGTGGGCTTTTGAGAGGTTATTGTCTCCTACCCCCCCCCCCCACAGCATTCATAGTTAAGTAGATACAAGCCCCCAACCACCTAGTGCTAACCCAACAGAGGTTTGAATACAGTGGGGTTTATTCCCTCTTGGGGACACCAGGGGCCACAGAGGTGATCACGGCTAGGTAGAATTGGATTGGCCTTGGGTCCTCCACCTGAACGACATCAGAATAGCATCAAGCGTCCACCCCGTTCTTCGGGGCCCATGTGTACAGTGGTCTGTGAATTTGCACAGCTGTAGCAGTTGGAGCTCTGGTAGCGTAGTGGTTACGAATCGGGCTGTGAACCTTAAGGTCAGCGGTTCGAAACTACCAGCCGCTCCGCGGGAGAAAGATGAGGCTTTCTACTCCCGTAAAGATTTACACCCTCGGAAACCCTGTACAGGGTCGCTATGGGTCGGAACTGACTCCACTGCACTTAACAACAACAACAACAAGCAGTTGGAGACCAGGGCACTGTTCCCTTCCCCTCCAGGAAGTAAAGCTGCTTCCCACCAGCCCTCTTCTGCCCTTCCATTCAGCTCAGGTGACTTCAGGCTCCTTTCCGAGGGACGTGGTTCCTTCCGCACATACACACCAGGAAGCAGCACAGGCGAGAGTTCCCTCTGCTCCTGGCCTCTGCCCCAGCTCGGGTGGGCAGCAGGTTGCATTTCTAGCGGTTTCAGCTATTCTAAAGCAGGCTTTTAGAGATGCACTCTGAGTCCCTGCCGGAGTCTGGGCAGATCTCAGGATGAGGTGGGGGTGTCTAACATGCTTGGAAGTGGGCAGCCTGATCAGGAATCAGATCTGAGTGAGCTGGCGTGCATTTTTCTGACTCTGCTGAGACACTTCCTAGAGTCCTTAGGCAATGTTAATGGTTCATGTGCTCGGCTGCTAAGATTGGAGGTTCGAGTCCACCCAAAGGCACTTTGAAAGAAAGGCTTAGTGGTTTACTTTTGGTTACAGCCACTGAAAACAAACCTTGTGGATCACAGTTCTATAGTGACAAACATGAAGTCAACATGAGTTTGGCTGGACGATAGTCAGTTTGTTATTCCTGGGGGCCTGCCCCCCAACCTCTGCTTCCGTTTGCTTTAGAGCAGAAGATGTGGCCATGGAATCAGCCCCTCTGATTGGGGTCACCGACAGCCTCTTCAAACTGGGGTCCACAGCTAGGGGACTTCCCCACAGCACAGCCCGGGAAATCCCATCCTGGGAGAGGATGGGGAACTCTCGCCAGAACTCTGAGATTATGTCTGGACATCAACCTGAGACCCTGCTCAGTTAGTATGCCCAGGTAGCTAAGCCCAGGGTAAGAGAAGACCCAGAAATGAGAGCAGCCATTTGCCAATGGAATGGGGTGGGGGTCTGAGAGGGTGACAGGGAAAGAACCAACATCCTCTAAACCCCAACACTGCTGTCTTATTTACAGAGGATGATCATGTGTCTCCACAGAGCCGGGCTGCCCCTCCGGCCTCTGACTAGGATTCTCCAGGGAAGAGCCTAGGACCTGTCTCTGAATTCTTCATTTAAGTCAGTAAGTTGTTACTGTATGTGTTGTCGAGCCAATTGCTACTTAGAGACCTCATAGAGCAGACTAGAACTGCCCCACAGGGTTTCCTAGTTTGTTGTCTTTAGGGAAGCAAATCGCAAGGTTTTCTTTCCCACAGAGCTGCTAGGTTTGAACTACCAACCTTGTGGTTAACATCTAAGTGCTTAACCATGGTGTCACCAGGGTCCCTTTCTGCCTCTCCCTCCCTCTGTCTCTGTCTCTCACAAGCACACACTAAGTATCAAATGCACAGACCTTAGGGAGCCAATCTCATGCCTTGCCAAGACTTCCATACGCAGTTAGTAATAAGTGAACGCTTTGAATGTTCATGAGACACAGGAAGGGCAAGGACGGCTTATTTTGTGGAAGAGTCACATTCGGAAGCCATCTGCCTGTGCAGTTCCTCTCCCATCCACATA